GATTTTGACAAATCTGGAAGTCTATCTTTTAGGAAACGTCTAGGAAAGATTTTCTGTGATTCCTAGGGTAGAATTAAGAAAACAAAATGTTATTTATTGAGGAGTGTTAGGTTAACCAAGGGGAGAGATGGTAGTGGATTTTTGTTTTCAGTTTTTTTTACTTTCTAGACCAAGATGTGCGGCTGATCTTTCTTCGTCAGTTCAAGGGGATTTTGAAGCCTAAATTCATGTCATTGGTGTAACTTGACTTTAGTAACATTGTTCTTAATCTCCCTTTTATTGGAATTGTTTATGTTATTCTATTTTAATTGTTTATGATTTTTGTTTGAGTGATTTAGTTTTGGCCTGCTAAATTGTTTAATCGGAATTTTACCTATTAGAATTAGGAATTGTTATACGTAATTGTCCTTTTTCTATTCAATGAGTAACATATGATGATTGATGATTATGGACAAGTTTTCAATCTGTCATCTTGAATAACATAACCTAAGTTAAATAATCCGAACTTGCATGATTGTTGCTTAGATTGATCTATTTTCCTAATTCTTAAAGCTGCTATTGAATTAAACTTAAAGAGCTTATTCTAGGTTGTTCAAGGGTTGAGATCTACTTGGAGAGCTTATTTCAGTAGTGACAATTAAGTGAAAATTCGGGTAACAAAGCTTGTTGTTTCTTAGGGTCAGTAGTTCCACAATAACGAGATAGAATAGTGTTACGGTTAGTTCATGTCCAATGCATGTTTAAGTGGATCTTGAATCGAGAACTGATTGCTTTTAACTTGATATTTTCTACCATTAGAGATTTCTTTGTTTTATTTAGTTTGCCTTGACTAAAACCCCCTTGCGTTACTGTTGCCATGTTTACTGTTTAGGTTTTTTTTTTTTTTTTTTTTGTTGTTGTTTTTGTTGTTTTCATTGTTTTAGAATATAGAAATTAATAAAATTATTCCCTGTGGGATCAACCCTTGCTTACGCTATATACAATTCAGTAGTTACATTAGGAAGGTTATTAATTTGGAGCATTTGGCACACTACCAAATTTTGGCGCCGTTGCCCGGGAGTGTTATTTGTCGATTTTTTTTCTTATGTTCTACGTTCTTGTGTTATTTCATTTAATCAGTGCTTAGTTGTGGGTTTTTNTTAATTGTTTATGATTCTTGTTTGAGTGATTTAGTTTTGGCCTGCTAAATTGTTTAATCTGAATTTTACCTGTTAGAATTAGGAATTGTGATACGTAATTGTCCTTTTTCTATTCAATGAGTAACATATGATGATAGATGATTATGGAAAAGTTTTCAATCTGTCATCTTGAATAACATAACCTAAGTTAAATAATCCGAGCTTGCGAGATTGTTGCTTAGATTGATCTATTTTCCTAATTCTTAAGGCTGCCATTGAATTAAACTTAGAGAGTTTATTCTAGGTTTTTCAAGGGTTGGGATCTACTTGGAGAGCTTATTTTAGTAGTTACAATTAAAGGAAAATTTCGGTAACAGAGGTTGTTGTTTCCTAGGGTCAGTAGTTCCATAATAACGAGATAGAATAGTGTTAAGGTTAGTTCATGTCCAATGCATGTTTAGGTGGATCTTGAACTGGGAACTGATTGTTTTTAACCTGATATTTTCTACCATTAGAGATTTCTTTGTTTTATTTAGTTTTCCTTGACTACAACCCCCTTTCATTACTGTTGTCATGTTTACTGTTTAGGGTTTTATTCTATTTTTCTATTGTTTTCATTGTTTTAGAATATAGAAATTAATCGAATCATTCCCTGTGGGATCAACCCTTGCTTACCTTATATACAATTTAGTAGTTAGGTTAGGAAGGTTATTAATTTGGAGCATTCGGCACGCTACCAAATTTTGGCGCCGTTGCTTGGGAATGTTATTTGTCGATTTTTTTTCTTATGTTCTACGTTTTTTGTTATTTTATTTAATCAGTGCTTAGTTGTGGTTTTTTTTTTTTTTTTTTTTTTTTTTTTTTTTTTTTTTTTTTTTTTTTTTTTTTTTGAAGAAAAAAAAATTTGAACAGTTGTACTATTCAGTACTATTCCTAAGAGAAATTTTAGTTGAATTATGAGTGCTGCAAATACCCATTTCGAAGAAAACGACATTCTGAGCAAGACTAGATGTTTTTCTAGCCCTACCGTCTTGTTCTCAAATTCGATTATTTAATAGGGTTTTTGGCCAATTTTCGTTGCTGTCAAGAAAAAAATCTATTTTTTTTATTTATTTAACTTAATTTGGTGATTTTAGTGGTTTATGACTCGATCCAATTCTACAGGAGAGTTGGAATTTGATCCAGGAATCGAACACAGTTTACGGAAGTTGTGAAAAGAGGCACGTCAAGCAAGTTCTTCATCTCTTGGTCTCAATATAGCCCTTGGTTCAACATCCCACAATTCATCCAGTGATCTAGATTCAGAAATAGAAGAAGAGATGGCCGTTGGCAGAACATTAAAGGAGTTGGCTGCTGATGAGAATGCAAAATGTCATATTTACCCCCCTTAATGTCTAGTCTTTTATACTTATTTTCTGCCTAAATATACTCATTATTATTCTATTTTGATTTAGGATGCAAATGGAGGCGTTAATTGCAAAACGGAACTAATTAAGTGAATTCGGACAGTTTCGACGTTGTTTCGTAATCTGGGCATAACTCTCTCATCCGAGCTCCGATTGAGATGATTCAAAATGCTGTGTAACGCTAAGAAATATATCTACAACTTTCATGTTTTGAGTTTGGAGATATACTCACTGCATCAAGGTTGTAATCGAGCTTGAAGTTGACGCATCTGCACTGGACGTCCTGGAGCATTCTGCCTTGTCATGCAAATCAATTGGGCAGTTTATTATTGGAAGATTTGAGGACATGTGGCACGCAAGTTACAGCTCAGAATCACCACTTTCCTATTTTATTTTAGGACTTTATCTTATTTTTAATTAATTAGAATCAAATTAGGATTAATGTTATTTTAGGATATTAGAATATTTCTTTTAGGAGATTGAGTGGGATTCAAACACTTGAATCTGGATTTTTGCTAAAGGGATCAGATTAGGGTTTTTGAGGGGGACCACGCCTCTCTCTTCTCTTCTCTGGAATTTTTCTTTCTCTTTTGAGTTTTGATGATGGCCATGAGCGGCTAGAACTTTTGTAACTTGGTCGAAGGAAACGGAGGCCTCGGAATCAATAAACTGTGAGATCTAATATATTTTTCTTAGTGTTCAATTTTCGTGTTTGAGTATTGGATGTTTTTCTATGCCTAATTTTATGATTGTTTCGTTTAATTACTAGGGAGGCCTACTAGTTTATTAATTGTTGCAATCTACTGCTAAGTTAGATATCAAATCCGTAATTGTTTGATCCCTCTAACTTGTGAAGCAATTAGGGTTAATAATTTGCTGCGTCAGGAATTAGTAATCTTAAGAAGAACACTCAACTAAATTAAATACAACCGCTTGAGTTTGTGTTGTTTAGCTTCATCGATTTCTCTAATTCTTAAGGCTACCACTAGATTAAATCTTGAGCGCTTGTCTAGGGTTGTTTAGTGGTAAGATTAATTAAGATCGCTTGTTTCTTAATTAATTACAATTAAGGAGAGATAGGAAAATAGTTCCAATGGTGAATATTTAGGTATGAATTGATTTAATTTTGCATCAATGATCAGTTGTAAGATTCCGATGGTGGATGTTGACTGAGACCAAGTTTCGTTATATTAATTGATTTCGATTTGAATTGTTTTTGTTTTTGTTTTTGCTAAGATTGTTTTCTGTTTTACTCAAAACCCCCTAGCCTTGTTCACATCATCGAAAATTTGGCTAGACACTCTTCGTGGGATCAACCCTTGCTTACCCTATTTACAGTTCAGTAGTTAGGTTATGAAGGTTTTTAATCTTGGTTGCCTACGACATCACACCAGCTGCCCCTGATTTTAATCAGCAGCCTTTGTGGATTTAGTACCTTACTTTAGATGTTGCTTTTGAACTTAAGTCTAGTCTAGTTCACGTGTTGCCTACGTTTCGTGGTCGTGCAGGTGAAGATCTGAATAAATATCTAAAAGAGTTCCATGTAGTCTGTTCAAGCATGAAACCAACTGGGGTGATAGAGAAGCAGATTAAATTACAAGCTTTTCCCTTTCCGTTGACGGATGATGCAAAGGATTGGCTCTATTATCTACCATCGGGGATAGTCGCAACATGGAACGAGATGAAAAGGCTATTTTTAGAAAGATACTTCCCAGCCTCCAAAGCTGCCACCATTAGGAAAGAGATATGTGGTATAAGGCAATATAATGGGGAGACATTGTATGAATATTGGGAGCGATTCAAGAAGCTATGTGCAAGCTGTCCTCACCACCAGATAAGTGATCAGTTGTTAATCCAGTATCTCTGTGAAGGATTGTTGCCTATGGAAAGAAACATGATAGATGCAGCAAGTGGAGGTGCGTTGGTGGATAAGACTCTTGAAGTTGCCAAACAATTAATCTCAAACATGGCTGCCAATTCCCAACAGTTTGGTACAAGACATGATGCACCACCTAAAAGGGTGAATGAGGTAAGTACATCTTCCATTGAACAACAATCATCTGATCTTACCTCTCTTGTTAGACAGTTGGTTGTAGGGAATGCACAACAGGTGAAAGCTTGTGGGATATGTTCAACAATAGGACACCAAACAGACATGTGCCCAACACTTCAAGAGGAAGGGACTGAGTAAGTCAATGCAGCTGGAAACTTTCCTGGACCACCGAGGCAGCATGATCCTTACTCTAACACATACAATCTAGGCTGGAAGGATCATCCGAATTTCAGTTATGGAGGAAATAGACAAGTAGGAGTTGGACAGAATTTCTTCCAAAATAGACAACAAGGGTTTCAACCGAAGCAACCTACCTCACAGAGTTCAAACTCATCCCTGGAAGATATAGTGAAGTCCCTTGCCTTGAATACCAAACATCTTCAACAAGATACAAGATCTAATATTCAAAGTTTGGAGAATTAGATGGGTCAAATGGCAACTGCTATAAGTCATTTAGAGGCTCAAGTTGGAGGGAAGTTGCCTTCTCAAACAGTGGTGAACCCAAAGGAAAATGTGAATGTAGTAACACTAAGAAGTGGCAAGAAAATGGAAGAACCGAAGCTGAACATTCCAAGTGTAGCAAAGGAAGCAGAAATTGAAGATGAAATTGAGAAAGAAGAGGCTACAACTGAATCAAAAGTAATTCAATTCAACTTCCGTTTAATACTTTACCTTTTCCTAGCAGATTCGCGAAGTCAAAGAAAGAAGAGAAGGATAAAGAAATTTTGGAGATGTTTCACAAGGTGGAAGTGAATATACCTCTGTTAGACACAATTAAGCAAGTGCCAAGGTATGGGAAATTTCTTAAGGAGTTGTGCAAGAATAAGTGGAAGTTAAATGGTGATGAGAAGATAATAATGGGAGAAAATGTGTCAGCAGTTTTCCAAAGAAAACTTCTTCCCAAGTGAAAGGATCCATGTATGTTTACAATTCCTTGTAAGATAGGTAACACTAGAATTGAGAGAGCTATGTTAGATTTAGGAGCTTCAATTAATGTTATGCCAAGATCTATTTATGCTTCATTAAATCTAGGTCCTGTGAAAGATACTGGTGTTATTATCCAATTGGCTGATTGCACTAATGCATACCCTGAAGGGGTAGTTGAAGATGTTCTTGTGCAGGTCAATGAGTTGGTGTTTCTGGCTGATTTTTACATTCTGAATATGGATGATTCTTCGTTTCCTGACCCTACACCTATCTTAGTGGGAAGACCATTCCTAAATACAGCTCGAACAAAAATAGATGTTCATGATGGTACCCTCACGATGGAATTTGATGGTGAAGCAATTCGTTTTAATATTTTTGATGCCATGAAAGATCCAACTGATGTTCAATCTATTTTTGCTATTGATGTTGTTGATCCTGTTGATTGCATAGTACAAGAGATTTTTGAGTTAAATAATGCAGATGAGTTAGAGGTTGCCCTTCTCAAACATGTGGAATCAGAGGAGAAATGAGAGATAGAGCTTAGTGAAGAATTGAAGGAGACAGTGGCAGCTTTATATTCTTTAAAACCGAGTCCAGAAAGGTATGAAGTTTCTTTTATAAAGCTGCCTGATTCTCACCAGAAATTATCGCCTTCTGTTTTGCAAGCCCCTACACTGGAGTTGAAGCCATTACCGGGCCATTTGAAGTATGTGTACTTGGGAGAGAATGAGAAACTACCGGTAATTGTGTCGAACAAGTTAACACCCAATCAAGAAGAGAAACTGGTTCAAATGTTGCGAAAGCATAAGGAAGCGATTGGCTGGACCATAGCTGACATTAAGGGGATTAGTCCTTCCATATGCATGCATCGGATTTTGCTTGAAGAAGGTACCAAGCCGACACGGGAAGCACAATGCAGATTAAATACCTCAATGATGGATGTGGTGAAAAAAGAAGTCCTAAAGCTTTTAGATGCTGGGGTAATTTATCCGATTTCCAACAGTAAGTGGGTAAGTCCAGTGCAAGTTGTCCCCAAGAAATCTGGTGTTACAGTGGTGAAAAACCAAGACAATGAGTTGGTCCCTACACGTATTCAGACAGGCTGGCGCGTGTGCATTGATTACAGGAAGTTGAACTCAACAACTCGAAAAGATCATTTTCCACTTCCCTTTATTGATCAAATGCTTGAAAGGTTAGCTGGTCATGTTTATTATTGTTTTCTTGATGGATTTTCAGGGTATAACCAGATTGTCATAGCACCGGAGGATCAAGAGAAGATGACATTCACCTGTCTATTTGGTACCTTCGCCTATCGCTGAATGCCATTTGGTCTCTGCAATGCTCTAGCCACATTCCAGCGATGTATGGTAAGCATTTTTTCAGAATATGTTGAATCAATTATAGAGGTGTTTATGGATGATTTTAGTGTTTTTGGTGATTCATTTGATCAATGCTTGCATAACCTTACACTAATTCTAGACAGATGCATGGAAACTAACCTTGTACTTAACTAGGAAAAATGTCATTTTATGGTAGAGCAAGGTATAGTTTTAGGGCATATTGTTTCATCCAAGGGAATAGAGGTTGATAAGTCTAAGATAGATTTGGTTACAGCTTTACCTTACCCCACCAGTGTGCGGGAAGTTCGATCTTTTCTTGGCCATGCAGGTTTCTATCGGAGATTTATCAAGGACTTTTCAAAAATCGCATTGCCCCTATGCAGATTGTTACAAAAGATGTGGATTTTCAGTTTGATGAGAAGTGCAAGGAGGCATTTGACAAGTTGAAGACATTGTTGACGACAGCACCAGTGATACAACCACCTAATTGGGATCTACCTTTCGAAATTATGTGTGATGCGAGCAACTACGCATTAGGTGTTGTCTTGGGTCAAAGAATTGGCAGAGCATGTCACGCCATTTATTATGCATCTAGGACCTTGAATGGCACCCAGCTCAATTATTCTACGACTGAAAAAGAACTTTTATCTATTGTTTTTGCTTTAGAAAAATTTCGGTCATATTTGTTGGGTGCCAAAATCAGTCTTTTCTGATCACGCAGCTCTTAGGTACTTGCTCACAAAGAAGGAGGCAAAACCAAGGCTAATTAGATGGATTCTTCTACTCCAGGAATTTGATTTGCAGATTAAAGATAAAAAGGGAACAGAGAATGTTGTAGCAGATTACCTTAGCCGTTTGGTTCGTGACAGCGATGAGCTTCCTTTGCGAGAAACATTTCTGGATGAGCAATTGTTTTCCATTGAAATGGCGTCACCATGGTATGCGGATATTGTCAATTTTTTAGTTACTAACGTGTTGCCAAATGATTTGACTAGAGCTCAAAAGGACAAGATCAAGAGTGATGCTAAGTATTATGCTTGGGACGATCCATATCTGTGGAAGCATTGTGTTGACCAAGTGATACGAAGGTGCGTATCTGAACATGAATTTATTCCTATTTTAACCTTTTGTCATACCTATGCATGTGGAGGACATTTTGGACCACAGAAGACAGCTCGTAAGGTATTAGAATGTGGTTTTTATTGGCCATCATTGTTCAAGNTCGAACTTAGTTTACAAGTTTGGCTACAAGATTTGTTTCTTTTGCGCTATTGTAGAAGAAATTACACGAAATAATGAACCCTAGTAGTGAGATGACAATGAATCCTATAGATTCAAACTCTCCACTATAGATCCACTCATCGGATACTCCAAGATCAGTATTAGTGACAGAGCAGCTCACAGGAACTGCAAATTATGGCATCTAGAGTAGGGCCATGACAGTATCACTCTGAGCCAAGAATAAATTGGGATTTGTCAATGGTTCATGTAAAAAACCAACAGATTTAACCCTTGGTGTGCAATGGGAAAGATGTAACTCACTAGTATTAGCTTGGATTTTCAATACGGTGTCGAAAGAGATTTTCAATGGAATAGTTTATCCCATTAGTGCACATCAAGTGTGGCAGGATCTTCAAGAGTAGTACTACAAAATCAGTGGAACTAGAATTTATGGAATACAGAGGGAGATAGTTAACCTGACACAAGGAACCATGTCAGTGGCAATCTATTATGATAAGCTGAAATCCTTGTCGGATGAGTTGAGTTCATTGATAAGCTTACCACCTCCAGACAGTGTAGTTGCCAAGGCTTATCTCGATCACTTGAATCAACAAAAATTGTTGTAGTTCTTGATGGGGCTCAATGACACTTACTCTATGGTAAGAAGCCAAATATTATTGATGTCACCATTGCCTTCAGTGAAGCAAACTTACTCGGTTGTTAACCAAGATGAAAGCCAAAGGATTTTAACAGGGGCCAACAATGTTGGTCCAGATGTGACTACTGCCTTATATGCTCAGAACACGCAGAAGGCGCAAAATCATAATCCAAAATATAAAGGCAAGAAGCCTTACATAGAATGTGACTTTTGTCATTTGCCAGGGCATAAACATGATACTTGTTACAAAGTCCATGGGTATCCAACATTTAACGAAGGGAAAATGAATGAATCCAAGAACAAATCATTAGCAAATCAGGTGCAATCTGCTGTTCAAGGAACTCTTGTTTCGAATACTCCTACAGATTCATCAAAAGGATCTTTTGGAACCATTCTCTCAGCTAAAAAATACTCTCAACTTCTCCAGTTACTTGGCAAAGAAAATATGCCAGCCTTAGCAAACATAGCAGGTAATACAACTTCACTTTTGTCCTGCTTAAATGAAACTGATAGTTAGATAATAGACTCAAGGGTAACTGACCATATGACCAGTAGATTATATAGTCTAAACTCTCCTATTGATATGGAATCCAACCCAAATGTCTATGTTGGCCTACCCAATGGAACCAAAACTAGGATTAGGCACATTGGTTCTGTTAAATTGGATGACAAAATTAGTCTTGATCATGTTTTGCATTTACGTAATTTTAAATATAACAATTTTTCAGTTTTGAAATTTACTTCATCCAATAATTGTGTTGTCACATTTTACCCTGATTTCTGCTTAATCTAGGACCTCTGGAGTGGCAAGTTGGAGGGGATTGGTACAAAATTCTAAGGCTTGTACTTCCATGTTCCTCTTACACAACATTTATCACACACTCTGGATGTTCATGCACTTGCAAAAATACTTTCCTCAAATGTAGTTTGTAATGCAGTAATAAATAAAGGTTTAAGTCCTAGCACAAAATCTGTTTTTTCTAGTTCACAATCTATACCACATCCTCTTAATGAACCTAAAGCATTAAGTCCATCTAATCCTATTGAACCCGAACCCTTAGTGCAATCTAATCTTGCACCCTTAAGAAAATCAAACAAGCCTACAAAACCACCTATTTGGACTACTGATTTTCATTGTCCAACCATTTCCTCTACCTCACAAACTTATCGTGTACAATACCCAAGTATCAAGTCTGTCTTAGCAAAATATCCTCCTTAACTGAACCTACTAGTTTTTACCAAGCTTCTAAAGATCCAAAATGGGTTAAAGCTATGTCAAAGGAGATAAAGGCTTTAGAGGACAATCACACTTGGTCTTTGGTTACTTTGGCTCCTGGAAAAAGTCCAATTGGATGTAAATGGGTATACAAGTTGAAATTCAATGCTGATGGTACTTTAGAAAGGTATAAAGTCAGGTTGGTGGCTAAGGGTTACACACAACAAGCAGGCATTGATTATGAGGAAACATTTTCCCCTGTGGTTAAGATGGTGATAGTGAGAACCATATTGTCCATAGCCTCAATTCATGATTGGCCTTTATACCATCTTGATGTTGACAATGCTTTTTGCAAGGTGATTTAACTAAAGAAATTTATATGTCTTTGCCTCAAGGTTTCCATAAACCAGCAAGACAACATATTGTGTGCAGACTCAACAAATCCTTATATGGTTTAAAATAAGCCTTTATGGCTTGGAATTTCAAACTGACTTCTGCATTGATTAAAGGTGGTTTTATTAAATCAAAATCAGATTATTCTTTGTTAACTAAGATCATCTCTAACCATAAACACCAAATTGGTACAATTTTCATACCAAATTGGTATGGCTTTTAGTGTATTTCACTATTGCATCTCCAATCCATTGCACCAAATATTATACTAAAAAGAATATTTTTTTTTTCTATTAATAATCAACAATTAATTTATTTCACTAATTATTTGTGTATATATTAATTAAATATTGGGAATGATATTTTTATTAAATAATAATAACTTTGAAAATTATACTAATTTAATAAAATTAAGCATTTATTTAATCAAATAAACATTATAATTAATGTAAAAAAACATTACATCTAACATAAAATGCCACCCAAAAAAAAAAAAAAAAAAAAAAAATCCACAAATTGGTGTGGATTCCACACCAATTTGGTGTGATACTATTCATTCACACCAATTTGGTGTTGGATTGGAGGAAAATTTCTACACCATTTTGGTATTTTACACCAAAATGGTGTTGGGTTGGAGATGCCCTAATAGACATTGTACTCAAATTGTGGTGGTCCTAGTATATGTTGATGACATAGTTATCACTAGTAGTAATTTAGCCTTGATTAATGCTGCTAAGCAGTTGCTTCAGTCCAATTTCAAGCTCAAAGATTTAGGACTACTTAGGTATTTTCTTGGTCTAGAGGTTGCCAGGTCAATCAAAGATATAACTCTTTCCCAACATAAATATACTTTGGAATTGATTTCTAGTACAGGTTTATCTAGTGCTAGACCTTCCATCATTCCTCTTGACCAACATGTGAAGTTTACTTCATCAGATTATGATAAACAGTTTGACATTTTTGGAGACGCTTTGTTGGTAGATGCTTCCATTTATCAGTAACTCATAGGCAAGCTTCTTTACCTATGCATGACTCGACCAGATTTGAGTTATTCAATAAACTTACTAAGTTAGTTTATGCATGCACCCAAGGAATCTCATATGCAGGCAGCCTTAAAGATTGTGAAGTATATAAAATCTGCTCTCGGTTTAGGTTTGTTCTTTCCATCTGATAGTTCTTTATATCTCACTGCTTATTTTGATTCAGATTGGGCCTCTTGTTTACTTACTAGAAGATCTGTTACTGGTTTTTGTGTATTTTTGGGGAATTCACTTTTGTCCAGGAAATCTAAGAAACAGATCACTGTTTCTTGGTCTTCTTCAGAAGCTGAATACAGGGCAATGACCTCTGTAGTTTATGAAATTGTATAGATAATGTAATTACTTTTAGAACTGGGTTATCCTCCTTCTTCCGCTGTTCCCCTATTTTGTGACAACCAATTTGCATTTCATATTGCTTCCAATCCAATGTTCCATGAGCGTACCAAGCACATTGACATTGATTGTCATCTCTTTCAAGAGAAACTTCAAGCTGGTCTTATAACTACCAAATATGTTCCCAGTAATGAGCANTTTTTTTTTTTTTTTTTGTGTCAATTAGTGAGAATTTAATTCGAAATCGATGATAAACTAATGGGATTTTTTGTATAATGATAAAAAAAAATTCACAATTTGGAAATGACAATAAATATTTATTAAAAATGATTGAAAGTTATCTAAATGAGAAAAAAATTGATTCGGTTGAAGATTGAACTTTTATAATCGAAAGAACAAAAAAAATACTAGAAATAATTATAGTTATTATCTGTTATGCCTAAAGAATGCAGGGCTGACGTAAGGTCCAGTCAGCGTGCAAAAAGTCAGAGCATGGGTGCACCCGCAATCGAGTCGCGTAGGAAAAGGAGCAGCATGCTTTTGTCAGAATAGTGGGTGCGTGCCAGACCAGCCAAAAGTTGTGGTGCTCCCACGTGTCCAATCCCTGCTCCAAATCTCGTAAATCACTCTAGAAGGTGGGCAATGTGACATAAAGAGGGATTTGCACGGATAATCCCACAAACTCACAGATTCAGTAATGATAACCTTAATGCATCCCACTATAAATTGAGAGCTCCTTTCTCATTAAGGGGATTCGCTATTCTCTCCCAAGAATATATAGCATTCTCTCTCTTGTACTATCATTTGTAAGTCAGTCCGCTAATGTGATCTGACCTCTATCATTAATACTAACATCAGTGGACGTAGGATTTTCTTCCTTAGCATCCGAACCACTTTAAAAGCTGTTCCCATTGCATTTATTCTCATTTTTCTTGCATTCACGTGTGTCTTCTGGGTCAGCTCAGCATTGCACAAGTGCGTTTAGTTGGTGTAAAAATCACGCATCAACAGTTTGTCGCTAGAAGGAGGGCCTGATTTAGTGTTCATCCTTCATCAGGAGAATCTCTAACTTATTGGTCCTACAACAGCAAATGGCCCGCCAACCTGAACTTGAGCGAACCAACCAGGGTGCTGAGGGGATCCCCCAAGTCCAAGGGGACACCTCTTCCAAAATACCTTCAGTTTTGCAAAATGCTGTAGGGGATATCCCATCAAGTTCACAACTTGACCCTGCCATTAGAAGCTACCTGGAGAGGTTTGACAATACTTTCCAGACGGTCAACCAAAGGTTGGACCATTTGGACTAAGGCGTGCCAACCAAATCAGCTGGGGCGGTGCAACCGCCAAAAATACCTGCAGGTCGTGTGAAAGTGCAGCAAAGAGAGATAACCTGTGCCGTAAGCACTGCAGTGCGTCGACGAAAAGGTAAGCAAGTGGCAAAAAAGGGGCTTACGGGCTCCAAAGGGCTAGCGAACTCCGACCGCTTCCCGAGCAGAATACCAGTGGCGTTAAGACTCGGTGAAAGGATGCAGCCCGAGCTTTCCCATGCCATGTCGTAGGTACATCCCCGTAAAAGTGCTGGGCAGGGCGATTCTTATCATCGCCAGCAAAACCATTCTGATCGTCATCGGGGAGGTTCCCACACTTTGCGGGGCAGTTCGTACCACTACGAAGGTCGTGAAAATACCCTGTATCATCCATCGCTATCACACGCCTCTAGCCAGCGTGTGTCGAGAGTGGCCAGGGCCGTCAGTCGAGGCGAAGAGGAATCCGACCTCCGGACTTTCCTCAACTATAATCCCGAGAGTCGAACTCGTATGGGTGAAAGTAATCCCCAAGTGGCTCCATTGCCTCAGATTGAAGAACTACAACGAGCTCTAGACCGATTAAGAGCTCAGCAAAATGAGTAAGGGCAGGTCGCGACCGCGTCCCCCTTCTCTTCCGAAGTGCTAGCCGCTCCACTCCCATTGGGATTCAGGATGCCCGACATGCGGGTATTTGATGGAAATTTTGATCCGCAAGATCGTTTATATGAATTCAACGACCTGATGGAGCTTCACCAGGTCTCAGATTTAGCAAAATGCCGTTGCTTGGCAGTGATGTTAACCTCCCATGCCAAACGGTGGTTTAGGTTGCTCCCACCGGGATCGATCAGTTCGTGGCCTCAGATGAGCGTGATATTCCTAAGGCACTTTCAAGCGAACCGAAAGTTCTCAATGCCTTTGAGTTACCTCAGCAATATAATTCAAGAAAGGGATGAATCCCTCTAGTCTTACATTGACCGATTCCACAGAGAACTCAACAAGGTAGCTCATACTCCCGAAGGTCCCTCTACAAACCGACTTGTGGAAAGAGCTACAGGCTGAGGATGATGTTTCCCTCACCCAATTCTATAACCTTGCGGAGAAGTACCTTTGGATTGAAAATTCAGTGGCGGCGCTCTACCACCGCAATCCCGGTGCATCAGACAGTTCGTCTAGTCGGGGGGAAAGTAGGAGAACTGATTGCAGATGAGCTACTGACGATCAGCGAAAAGGAAAGAAATCTCGCTACGAGCCCAAAAAGTCTTATGCTCCCGCCCCTCGTCGCGATCAATATACGCCTTTGAATGCATTTGTATTGGCCATCCTTGATAAATCAGAGGAGGCCAACCTGCTCGGAGAGCTTGAGCCCATGAAAAATCCCTCGTCAGCCAGAAATAGTAAAAAGTACAGTCGCTTTCATCGGGATAATGGGCACCATACCGATGAGTGCCGATCTCTCAGACAGGCAATCGAAGAACTCATCAAGAAGGGGCATTTCAAAGAGTATATTGACAACTCTGCTCCCGCACAGGTGATAAGAGTGTAATTTAGATATTTTTATTGCTTCCATATTATGTTTTTTGTTATGTTTTATGCCTAGTTGAGCTGATTAGAGCTTATTTTGTAAGGTTTGCATAGTTGGATAGACTTTAGGAAATAATTGAGAAAAGATTAGGAAATTCCAGATTTTCCAGATATTTCGTTATTCTGACCAGTGCTACGTTTTTCAGGTTTTTCAGGGAGCCAGATTCCTCGATTGCAAAAGTGTTCTTCAGAGAAATTAAAGTAGACGAATCAAGCTTTTCAGGAAGGTATTATGGACGAGAATCTGAGTTTGTTTCGGTTCTCAGTAGTTGTTGTAAAACCGGACCTGGAATCCTAGTTGTAGAAGGATTCCTTAGCTGAGTATTGAATCTTCGAATGGGCCTAACTGGAGTGTCAGATATCGAAAACGGGTTATTCAAAATCCCAGATTCATCTACACATCCTGGAATACAACTTTTATGAAGTGATGGAGCCCAGAAAAGATCTTTTACATTGCAAGAACCTGGTGCAAGCTGGAGACGAATTCTGGAATCCATATCTGATCAGATTTTGTCAAATCTGGAAGTCTATCTTCTAGGAAACGTCTAGGAAAGAAATTCCGTGATTCTTGGGGAAGAATTAAGGAAAACACATGTTATTTAATTAGAAGTTTGTAGGTGAAACGGGGGGAGAGGACAGTAGAGTATTATTTTTCAGAGTTTTTGCTTTCTAGATCAAGATGTGCGGCTAATTTCCTTCTTCAATTCAAGGGGATTTTGAAGCCTAATTTCATGTCATTGGTGTAACTTAACTTCAGTAGCGTTGTTCTCAGTCTCATTTTTATTAGAATTGTTTATGTTATTCTGATTTAATTGTTTGTGATTCTTGTTTGAGTGATTTAGTTTTGGCTTGCTAAATTGTTTAATCAGAATTTACCTGCTAGAATTAGGAATTGTGATACGTAATCGTCCTTTTTCTATTCAACGAGTGACACATGATGATAGCTGATTATGGACAAGTTTTCGGTCTATTGTCTTGAATAACATAACCTAAGTTAAATAATCCGAGCTTGCGTGATTGTTGCTTAGATTGATCTATTCTCCTAATTCTTAAGGCTGCCATTGAATTAAATTTAGAGAGCTTGTTCTAGGTTGTTCAAGGGTTAGTATCTACTCGAAGAGCTTGTTTCAGTAGTGACAAACTAAGGGAGAATTCGGGTAACAGAGCTTGTTGTTTCCTAGGGTCAGTAGTTCCATAATGATTAGATAGAACAATTTACGGTTACTTATGTCCAATACATGTTAGTGGATATTGAACCGAGAACTGATTGTTTACACTGATTTTTTTTCTCTGGTTTACTTTATTTGCCTTGATTACAACACCCCATTACTATTGTCAGGTTTACTGTTTAGAGTTTAATTGTGTTTTCTGTTTTTTATTATTTTAAAATATAGAAATTAACGAGTCATTCCTGTGGGATCGACCCTTACTTGCCCTTTATACAATGCAGTAGTTAGGTTAGTAAGGTTTTAATTGGTGCATTCGGCACCTACCAAATTTTGGCGCCGTTGCCGGGGAGTGGTATTTGTCTTTTTTTTATATATTTCTACGTTTTTTTTTTTTTTTTTTTTTTTTTTTTGTGATTTTGTTTAATCAGTGCTTAGTTGTTTATTTTATTTTATTTTGTTTTGTTTAATTGTGATTTTTAGGTTTTTGAAGAAAAAAAAAAGAAAGAATTTTTTTTTTTTTTTTAATAGTAGCACTATTCAACATGAACAGTAGTACTATTAAGTATTATTCCTAAGAGAAATTTTGGTTGAACTAGGAGTGCTGTGAGTACCCGTTTCGAAGAAAACGACATTCTGAGCAAGACTAGAAGTTTTCTAGCCCCACCCTGTCGTTCTCAAATTCGATCATTTAATAGGGTTTTTAGCCAATTTTCATTGCTATCAAGAAAAAAATTTATTTTTTATTTTTTTATTTTTGTATTTATTTATTTAGGCTTAATTTGGTGATTTTAATGGTTTATGACTCGATCCAATTCTACAGGAGAGTTGGAATTTGATCCAGAAATCGAACGCAGTTTACGGAAGTTGCGAAAAGAGTCACGTCAAGCAAGTTCTTCATCTCCTGATCTAAATATAGCCCTTGGTTCTGCATCCCACAATTCATCCAGTGATCCGGATTCAGAGATAGAAGAAGAGATGGCCGCTGGCAGAACATTAAAGGAGTTGGCTGCCCCTGATTTTAATCAGCAGCCTTTGTGTATTCAGTACCTTACTTTAGATGTTGCTTTTGAATTGAAGTCTGGTCTAATTCACTTGTTGCCTACATTTCGTGGTTGTGCAGGTGAAGATCCAAATAAACATCTAAAGGAGTTTCACGTTGTCTGCTCAAGCATGAAACCGACTGGAGTGACAGAGGAGCAGATTAAGTTGCGAGCTTTTCCTTTTTCGTTGGGGGATCATGCAAAGGATTGGCTTATTATTTACCATCGGGGACAGTAATAACATGGAATGAGATGAAAAGGATGTTTTTAGAAAGATATTTCCTAGCATCTAGAGCTGCCACCATCAGGTAAGAGATATGTGGGATAAGGCAATATAATGGAGAGACGTTGTATGAATATTAGGAGCGATTCAAGAAGCTATGTGCAAGCTGTCCTCACCACCAGATAAGTGATCAATTGCTAATTCAGTATCTCTATGAAGGATTGCTGCCTATGGAAAGAAATATGATAGATGCAGCAAGTGGAGGTGCATTGGTGGATAAGACTCCTGAAGCTGCCAAACAGTTAATCTCAAACATGGTTGCCAATTCCCAATAGTTTGGTACAAGACATGATGCGCCAACCAAAAGGGTGAATGAGGTAAGTACATCTTCCATTGAACAACAATTATCTGATCTTACCTCTCTTGTTAGACAATTGGCTGTAGGGAATGCGCAACAAGTAAAAGCTTATGGGATATGTTCGACAATGGGACACCAAACTGACATGTGCCCAACACTTCAAGAGGAAGGGATTGAACAAGTCAACGCAGCAGGAAACTTTCCTGGACCACCGAGGCAACATGATCCTTACTCTAACACGTACAATCCAGGTTGGAGAGATCATCCGAATTTCAGTTATGGAGGAAATAGACAAGTAGGAGGTGGACAGAATTTCTTCCAGAATAGACAACAACAAAGTTTTCAACCGAAGCAACCTGCCTCACAGAGTTCAAACTTATCCCTGGAAGATATAGTTAAGTCCCTTGCTTTGAATACCAAACAGTTTCAACAAGATACAAGATCTAGTATTCAAAGTCTGGAGAATCAGATGGGTCAAATGGCAACTTTTATAAGTCTTTTATAGGCTCAAGTTTGATGTAAGTTGCCTTCTCAAACAGTGGTGAATCCAAAGGAGAATGTGAATGCAGTGACGCTAAGAAGTGGCAAGAAAGTGGAAGAACCAAAACTGGATAGTCCAAGTGTAGCAAAGGAAGCAGAGATTGAAGATGAAATTGAGAAAGAAGAGGCTACAACTGAATCAAAGGTAATTCCTAACCCTTCAATTCAACTTCAATCTAATACTTTACCTTTTCCTGGCAGATTCGGGAAGTCAAAGAAAGAAGAGAAGGATAAAGAAATTTTGGAGATGTTTCGTAAGGTGGAAGTGAATATACCTCTGTTGGATGCAATTAACCAAGTGCCAAGGTATGCAAAATTTCTTAAGGAACTATGCACCAATAAGCGGAAGTTGAACGGTGATGAGAAGATAATAATGGGGGAAAATGTGTCAGCAGTTTTCCAAAGAAAACTTCCTCCCAAATGCAAGGATCCAGGTATGTTTACAATTCCGTGTAAGATAGGTAACACCAAGATTGAGAGAGCTATGTTAGATTTAGGAGCTTCGATTAATGTTATGCCACGATCTATTTATGCTTNCCTCTGATTTTAATCAACAGCCTTTGTGTATTCAGTACCCTACTTTAGATGTTGCTTTTGAACTTAAGTCTGGTCTAATTCACTTGTTGCCTACATTTCATGGTCACGTAGGTGAAGATCCAAATAAACATCTAAAAGAGTTCCATGTAGTCTGTTCAAGCATGAAACCGACAGGGATGACAAAGGAGCAGATTAAGTTGTGAGCTTTCCATTTTTCATTGGGGGATGATGCAAAGGATTGGCTCTATTATTTACCATCGGGGATAGTCACAACATGGAACGAGATGAAAAAGATGTTTTTAGAAAGATATTTCCCAGCATCCAAAGCTGCCACCATTAGGAAAGAGATATGTGGTATAGGGCAATATAATGGAGAGACATTGTATGAATATTGGGAGCGATTCAAGAAGCTATGTGCAAGCTGCCCTCACCACCAGATAAGTGATCAATTGCTAATTCAGTATCTCTATGAAGGATTGTTGCCTATGGAAAGAAACATGATAGATGCAGCAAGTAGAGGTGCGTTGGTGGATAAGACTCCTAAAGCTGCCAAACAATTAATCTCAAACATGGCTGCCAATTCCCAACAGTTTAGTACAAGAAATGATGCACCATCCAAAAGGGTGAATGAGGTAAGTACATCTTCCATTGAACAACAATTATCTGATCTTACCTCTCTTGTTATACAATTGGCTGTAGGGAATGCGTAACAGGTAAAAGCTTGTGGGATATGTTCGACAATGGGACACCAAACAGACATGTGCCTAACACTTCAAGAGGAAAGGACTGAGCAGGTCAATGCAGTAGGAAGCTTTCCTGGACCACCGAAGCAGCATGATCTTTACTCCAACACATACAATCCAGGTTAAAGGGATCATTCGAATTTCAGTTATGGAGGAAATAGACAAGTAGGAGTTGGATAGAATTTCTTCCAGAATAGACAACAAGGTTTTCAACCGAAGCAACCTGCCTCACAGAGTTCAAACTCATCCCTGGAACATATAGTGAAGTCCTTTGCTTTGAATACCAAACAGTTTCAACAAGATACAAGATCTAGTATTCAAAGTTTGGAGAATCAGATGGGTCAAATGGCAACTGCTATAAGTCGTTTAGAGGCTCAAGTTGGAGGGAAGTTGCCTTCTCAAACAGTGGTGAACCCAAAGGAAAATGTGAATACAGTGACGCTAAGAAGTGGCAAGAAAGTGGGAGAACCAAAGCTGAACATTCCAAGTGTAGCGCAAGAAGCAGAAATTGAAGATGAAATTGAGAAAGAAGAGGGTACAACTGAATCAAAGGTAATTCCTAACTCTTCAATTCAACTTCAATCTAATACTTTACCTTTTCCTAGCAGATTTGTGAAGTCAAAGAAAGAAGAGAAGGATAAAGAAATTTTGGAGATGTTTCGCAAGGTGGAAGTGAATATACCTCTATTGGATGCAATTAAGCAAGTGCCAAGGTATGCAAAATTTCTTAAGGAGCTATGCACCAACAAGCGGAAGTTGAACGGTGATGAGAAGATAATAATGGGAGAAAATGTGTCAGCTGTTTTCCAAAGAAAACTTACTCCCAAGTGCAAGGATCCAGGTATGTTCACAATTCCTTGTAAGATAGGTAACACCAGAATTGAGAGAGCTATGTTAGATTTAGGAGCTTCGATTAATGTTATGCCACGATCTATTTATGCTTCATTAAATCTAGGTCCTGTGAAAGATACTAGTGTTATTATCCAATTGGCTGATCGCACTAATGCATACCCTGAAGGGGTAGTTGAAGATGTTCTTGTGCAGGTCAACAAGTTAGTGTTTCCGGCTGATTTCTACATTCTGGATATGGATGATTCTTCTTCTCCTTACCCTGTACCTATCTTACTGGGAATACCATTCCTAAATATAGCTCGGACAAAAATAGATGTTTATGATGGTACCCTCACGATGGAATTTGATGGTGAAGTAATTGTTTTAATATTTTTGATGCCATGAAATATCCAACTGATGTTCAGTCTATTTTTGCTATTGATGTTGTTGATCTTGTTGATTCCATAGTGCAAGAGATCTTTGAGCTAAATAATGCAGACGAGTTAGAGGTTACCCTTCTCAAACATGTGGAATCAGAGGAGAAATGAGAGATACAGCTCAGTGAAGAATTGAAGGAGACAGTGGCAGCTTTACGTTCTTTAAAACTGATTCCAGAAAGGTATGGAGTTTCTGTTATAAAGCTGCCTGATTCTCACCAGAAATTATTGCCTTCTGTTTTGCAGGCCCCTACACTAGAGTTGAAGCCATTACCGGGCCATTTGAAGCATGTGTACTTGGGAGAGAATGAGAAAGGTAATTGTGTCGAAGAAGTTAACACCCAATCAAGAAGAGAAATTGGTTCGAATGTTGCGGAAGCATAAGGAAGTGATTGGCTGGACCATAGCTGACATTAAAGGGATTAGTCCTTCCATATGCATGCATCGGATTTTGCTTGAAGAAGGTGCCAAACCGACACGGGAAGAGCAACGCAGATTAAATACCCCAATGATGGATGTGGTGAAAAAAGAAGTCCTAAAGCTTTTAGATGCTGAGGTAATTTATCCGATTTTCGACAGTAAGTAGGTAAGTCCAGTACAAGTTATCCCCAAGAAATCTGGTGTTACAGTGTTGAAAAATCAAGATAATGAGTTGGTCCCTACACGTGTTCAAACAGGCTGGCGTGTGTGCATTGATTACAGGAAGTTGAACTCAACAACTCGAAAATATCATTTTCCACTTCCCTTTATTGATCAAATGCTTGAGAGGTTAGCTGGTCATGTTTATTACTGTTTTCTTGATGGATTTTCAGGGTATAACCATATTGTCATAGCACCGGAGGATCAAGAGAAGACGACATTCACATGCCCATTTAGTACCTTCGCCTATCACCGAATGTCGTTTGGTCTCTGCAATGCTCCAGCCTCATTCCAGTGATGTATGGTAGGTATTTTTTCAGAATATGTTGAGTCAGTTATAGAGGTCTTTATGGATGATTTTATTGTTTTTGGTGATTCATTTGATCAATGCTTGCATAACCTTACACTAATTCTAGACAGATGCATGGAAACTAACCTTGTATAACTAGGAAAATGTCATTTTATGGTAGAGCAAGGTATAGTTTTGGGGCATATTGTTTCATCCAAGGGAATAGAGGTTGATAAGTCTAAGATAAATTTGGTTATAGCTTTACCTTACCCCGCCAGCGTGCTGGAAGTTTGATCTTTTCTTGGCCATGCAGGTTTCTATCGGAGATTTATCAAGGACTTTTCAAAAATTGCATTGCCCTTATGCAGATTGTTACAAAAAGATGTGGATTTTCAGTTTGATGAGAAGTGCAAGGAGGCATTTGACAAGTTGAAGACATTGTTGACGACAACACCAGTGATACAACCACCTAATTGGATCTACCTTTCGGAATTATGTGTGATGCAAGCAACTACGCATTAGGTGCTGTCTTGGATCAAAGAGTTGGCAGAGCGTGTCACGCCATTTATTATGCATCCAGGACCTTGAATGGTGCCCAGCTCAATTATTCTACGACTGAAAAAGAACTTTTATCTGTTGTTTTTGCTTTAGAAAAATTTCGGTCATATTTGTTGGGTGCTAAAGTCATTGTTTTTTTTGATTATGCATTTCTTAGGTTCTTGCTCATAATTAAGTATTCAAAACCAAGGCTAATTAGATGGATTCTTCTACTCCAGGAATTTGATTTGCAGATTAAAGATAAAAAGGGAGCAGAGAATGTTATAGCAGATTACCTTAGCCGTTTGGTTCGTGACAGCGATGAGCTTCCTTTGTGAGAAACATTTCCGGATGAGCAATTGTTTTCCATTGAAATGGCGTCACCATGGTATGTAGATATTGTCCATTTTTTAGCTACTAACGTGTTGCCAAATGATTTGACTAGAGCTCAAAAGGACAAGATCAAGAGTGATGCTAAGTATTATGCTTGGGACGATCCATATCTGTGGAAGCATTGTGCTGACCAAGTGATAAGAAGGTGCATATCTGAACATGAATTTATTCCTATTTTAACCTTCTATCATACCTATGCATGTGGAGGACATTTTGGACCACAGAGAACAGCTCGTAAGGTATTAGAATGCGGTTTTTATTGGCCATCATTGTTCAAGGATGCCTACATGTTCTGTAAGTCATGTGATAATTGCCAAAGAGTAGGAAATATTTCTCGTAGAGATCAAATGCTACAATCTCCTATATTTATTGTTGAAATTTTTGATGTTTGGGGCATTGATTTTATGGGTCCATTTCCTGTTTCCTTTGGTAATGTTTATATTCTGTTAGCTATTGATTATGTTTCCAAATGGGTGGAGGCGAAAGCCATCAGAACTGACACTTCAAATGTTGTTGCAGATTTTGTTAAAACTAACATTTTTGTCAGGTTTGGGATACCAAGGGCCATAATCAGTGATAAGGGCACTCATTTTTGCAATAGAAAAATAGAGGCATTGCTTAAGAAATACCATGTCAAACACAAGGTCTCCACATCATACCACCCACAAACCGATGGCCAAGCGGAAGTGTCAAATAGAGAGATCAAGTCAATTTTGGAAAAGATTGTGAACCCAAACAGGAAGGATTGGTCTTTGAGATTAGACGATGCATTATAGGCATACAGAACAGCATATAAGACACTTATTGGCATTTCTCCATTCGGATTAGTGTTCGGTAAGCTGTGTCATCTTCCAGTAGAATTAGAGCACAAGGCTTATTGGGCAATCAAGCATTGCAATATGGAGATGAAGGAAGCTGGCATTAATAGGAAGTTGCAATTGCAAGAACTTGAGGAGTTGAGGAATGATGCCTGCGAGAGTTCACACATCTACAAGGCAAAGACTAAAGCCTTTCATGACAAGATGATCTCAAGGAAGCATTTTTCAGTTGGACAGAAAGTCCTTCTTTTTCATCCAAGGCTGAAGTTATTTTCGGGTAAGTTACGTTCTTGTTGGGTGGGACATTTTATTATGACTAATGTTTTTCATCATGGTGCAGTAGAAATCCAAAGTTTGCAAACAAACAAGGTGTTTAAGGTCAATGGACATAGGCTTAAACCTTACTATGAAGGGTTCCAAGTTTGCAATATTGAGGAGGTGGGATTGGAGGAGTCAATACATGAGTAGTAAAGACGATGCAGAGAGTCGGGCTAACGACTTTAACCAAAGGCGCTGCTTGGGAGGCAACCCAAGAATTCAGATTTGATTTTCTTTTCCTTTGAATTTAGTTTTTTTTTTATTTGCAATTTTTTTTTTTTTTTATTTACTGTCTCTACATTTGGGTCTTACATTGGGGAAAATGTAAGTTTTAAGTGTGGGGCAGAAGTTAGGCTTAGGTGTGTTTTATATTATTATTATTATTTTTTTTTTAGGCTTAGATGTGTGTTATATTCTGTTTTTGTATGAGTATGTTTATGTTAAAAAAAAAAAAAAAGGAGTTTTTGTTGTTAGGAAGATTTATGCTTTAAGTCACGTCTTTGAACGTCTAGTGATGCATGAAATAGTAACTTGACTTTGTTGTTGAGCATATTCCTTGACTTAGGATGTTAGCAATATTTCATAAAATATAGTTAATTAGATTTGAATCTTTGAAACACTATGTCTTGAGAAGTTGTGTGAACTTGGTGACNCCGTGCCTCCGGTAAGATGGGGCCGTGACATTCAGAGAGAGAGAGAATACACTCACATGGCCAAGGGTTCCGAATCCATGCATGACTAAGTCTGATCGGCAGAGAATGAGTAGAAGTCACGAAGAGTGGGTTGGTGCTTTGTGATCTCCACCCAGCCGTGCCTCCAGTAAGATGAGGCCGTGACCTACAACAGAAAGTTAACAGAAAAGAGTTATGAGAAAGAGAGACAAAAAGAGAATCAGTAGAAGTCACGTAGAGCAGGATAAGTCCCGACTGTGCCTCCGATAAGATGAGGTTGTGACATTCAAAGAGAGAGTTAGTAGAAAAGAATTATGAGTAAGGAGAAAGAGATAATAGAGAGAATTAAAGAATGAGAAAGCTTGAGAAGGATGAGAAAGCTTGAGAAAGAATGAGATAGAAAGAGAGAGTATGAGAAAGAATGAGAGAGTTTGAGTTAGTAAGAATAGAGAGTAGAAGAAAGAAACATGCAGTTCTTTTGCATTAATTGCATGTACATCTCATACATGCATGCACCATGATTTCTTCCATGGTTAGTGAGAGTATGATGAGAATAAGAGAGAACCATGATTTTTCTTCATGGTGAGTATGACGAGGATAAGAGAGAGAACCATGATTTTCCTTCACAGTGAGTAAGAATAAGAGAAAAACAACAGAGAATAAGAATAGAGAGAAAGAAAGAATAAAAAGAGCTAAACAAAGTTAAAGGAGAATAAAAGTATTAGAAAGAAAGAGAAAAATAGTGAGAATTAGAAATAGAAGAACGGTAGAGTAAGGAAAGAATCAAAGAGTGAGTTGCTGGGACAGGTAGTAGAGGATTTACTTACTGAGTATTGTTGTGCTCACCCCGTTGTTCTTCCCTGTTTTGCAGGAAATAAAAGCAGTGGTCGGATGGACGTCGCGTAGCGGAGAGTATTGGCACCACTATCCACTAGCTATGATGTTTTGTATTAAGTAGAAAGTTTTTAATACATAGTATTTTGAGTTTGTAAAGAATTATGTTTTTATGAGTAAAGAAAAATTTGAGCCCACTATCTTTCATACGCTATGTATATCCATAATTTGCATAGTATGTATTATAAGAATAGTAGTAAAGAGGAGGTGTTACAGAACCCAAATAGGAAGGATTGGTCTTTGAGATTAGACGATGCATTATGGGCATACAGAACAGCATATAAGAACCTATTGGCATGTCCCCATACAAATTAGTGTTCGGTAAGTCGTGTCATCTTCCAGTAGAATTAGAGCACAAGGCTTATTGGGCAATCAAGCATTGCAATATGGAGATGAAGGAAGCCGGCGTTAATAGGAAGTTGCAATTGCAAGAACTTGAGGAGTTGAGGAATGATGCCTACGAGAGTTCACACATATACAAAACAAAGACTAAAGCCATTCATGACAAGATGATCTCAAGGAAGCATTTTTCAGTTGGACAGAAAGTCCTTCTTTTTCATTTAGGGCTGAAGTTATTTCCGGGTAAGTTACGTTCTCGTTGGGTGGGACCTTATATTGTGACTAATGTTTTTCCTCATGGTGCAGTAGAAATACAGAGTTTGAAAACAAACAAGGTGTTTAAGGTCAATGGACATACGCTTAAGCCTTACTATGAAGGGTTCCAAGTTTACATTATTGAGGAGGTGGGATTGGAGGATTCGATACATGAGTAGTGATGACCATGCAGCAAGTCGAGCCAACGACGTTAACCAAAGGCGCTGCTTGGGAGGCAACCCAAGAATTCAGATTTGATTTTCTTTTCCCTTGACTTTAGTTTTTTAGTTTTGCCATATTTTTTGTTTTATTTGTTTTATTTGCTTGTCTCTACATTTGGGGTATTACATTGGGGACAATGTAAGTTTTAAATGTGGGGGAGAAGTTAGGCTTGGATGGGTTTTATATTTCGTTTTTTTTTTTTTTTTAAGGAGGTCTCTGTAAAAAAAAAAAAAAAAAAAAAAAAAATTCATGTAGTGAGGTTTTGCTTTACGTAAGTGTCTTGAACGTCTAGGTGATACATGAAACTAATAACTTGATTTGTGTTGAGCATATTCCTTGACATAGGATGTTAGCAAATTTCCTAAAATAGAGTTAATCATATTGAATCTTGTAGTTTGAAAAACAATAGTCTTGAGACGTTGTGTGCACTTCGTGACGAAGCCGATTGGGAGGTACTGAACAACACTTTTAAAAGAAAGAAAAAAGGAACAATTGTTTCCTTAAGCTAGGTCCTAAATTTGGGTTAAGCAAATAGAAAAAAAGAAAGAAAGAAGTGTGTGTGGTGAGTCGAGATGGAGCGGAAAACGCAATCACCATAAACAAAACCTGAAATGAGATGGAGCATTAAAATGCACTCATTTTTTTCAAAAACAAAAAAAAAAAACAAAAAAAAAAAAGAAAAAAAGAAAAATGAGAAGAAAAAAGTGCTAGTTGCTACCCATTTGTAGTACAAAGAGAAACAGTTGAGGGAAAGTTGAGGAGAGTTGTACATGAAATGTGGTTATGATTAAGTCCTGTTTGCATTGACGAGTAGAGGAATTATGAAAGGAGAAGAGCATACGGAAATGTAATTAACTCTACTTATTTTATTTTGCTGTTCCTAAGTTAGTATGATATGCAGGTGAAATGATCTGTGCTTATGCATCATGAATGTGTTCTTTGATATGACTTAGTGTAGGTGTTTTATTACTGTTGAATTAGATTTGCCCGAGGACGTGTGCAAAAGTAGTGTGAGGAAGATTGATAAGAGTGTTTAATTTACTATTTTATTTTCATATTATGTTTTTGTTAGTTTTTAATGTATCTTGCGTTGATGTAGCGTTTATTTTGTGGTTTTGCAATAGTGTGGTTGTTAGGGAACGATCCGGTTGGGGCACGGAAAACCAAAATTTATACAACCGATGAGTCTCCTAAAGCCAAAATCAAGGTACAAATTGTACAGTTTATGGATACACCATAAATCTGCAGAACACGTAAATCTACATTTAGATTCATACCCATCTGGGAGGCTTCACCATATTGTCCTCTGAAAATGTTTGCCTAACGACCAGTGTAGGATCGTGATAGCCAAAGTCCACACAAAGACATCCACCAAGAACAAGGAGGGATTTGCTAGATCCTCCTTGGCCTTAAAAATCAAGAAAAAAA